GTTATACTAAACTTTCAATATCTTATTACTATTCTTCAATGGGGTATGTTTTAATAATGTAATTAAAACAAATTTATCATTGAAAATAGTTATTTTTTGGACGTTGAAGGTACATTTGAAGCTATGACTATATTAGGAAGGATTTACCAATTAAAAGAACTATTTACGGTTGGTGCTTCCCATAAAAAGAAAAAGAAAAAGAAAGTGAAAGTATTTTAAAATAGTTCGATCACAATGAATGCATTCTTCTAAAATACATGTTACTATAATTTCTAATCAATTTGATCATATCTAGGGTTGTCATAGGAGCAATGAAAATCTTAAAGGTGTTTCTATGGTTCCATCTACAAATTGTTGTTATTAGTTTCGATCGACGATCCTTTAAATCGTATGTTCACGCTTATGATTGTTAATACATTTACTTTCATTTTAGATTAAATGGATTAGAGTTAATTGTAAATTCAACTAATCCTTTTATGACCGCGTGAAGCGCGAACATATTCACTAGTATTTATATAATCATATATAAATACAACACACAATGTTCATTCATAAAATAGCGATGCAACACAAATTACACGAATCACTTTTGTTTACTATCAAATTTGATGAAAAATATTTTCTTTTGGTATACTGAGGGTGCACATCGATCGATTTGGTTCGATCTAAACCCATCGTGTGCCCTCCATATCTTATCTCTCCTTGACTTCTTCCCCTGTGTGTTGAACAGCCACCTCTTTGCAGAATCAATATCCTCATCATCTGGCTCAGCCACTTCCACATCAATTTCCTCAAACATCATCATCTTCACAATGATGGTAATGTTTATATATTAGATTCATGAGTTGGATTAATTATATTATAAAGAATAAAACAAGGTAAATACAACTAATCAAGAAATATTCAATCTTGAAGAAATTAAAAAACACAAATGTTTATACTCCACTAATTTTTAACATAAGAAAGAACAAAAGCAAATATTTGTTGGGGAACAATGGAAAAACAATACTTAATATAGTAAATTATTTATTTAACAAAATAATAAATAAATATCATTATCACAAATAATAATAAATCGTGTTGGATACTGTTCTAAAAAAACTACTCTATTTCAACAGAGCAGAATTACAACTAATTCAATGGTATGAAATATTTTTTAGAATTAAACAGCTCTTCTCTAATTATAACTATTTCAGTAGTCTGAAATATTTTCTCAAAAATAAACAATTTTTTTCTATTTAGATAGAAGAAATTAACAAAATTTATCTAACACCAACAGGAATTTAATTTAAAGAAATAATAAAAGCAAGGGAAATCTTGTAGAAAAAAAAAAAGGCAAGAAAGAGATCAAGTAGTAATTTTTAGCTTTGTTTATCTGCCTATATTTTGCTGAAGCATAAGGTGGATATTTATAGGAGGCGGCTAATGGTTAAAACATGTCAAATGTAATTATTAATTTATGATTTTGCTTTTTTCCTTTCAAAAAGTCTATTCAACTCTTTCTCTACTTAGGAGAATATTTTGATCTTTTTAGACTCTATAACATGGCTCTGTCCCCGAGTAAAGGAGTTTTATACTATAATTCTAAAAAAAATGCAGGCAATTTTTTTAAAAATTCATTAAAGATTTTATAAATATTTTAATCACTTAATTAACACTGTTTTTTATAACTTAATTGAACAAGTTAATAGATTTGAAATAAATATTATGTGTGAATTTCAGTCTTTTGAGCTTTTTGATTGCATTCTCCTTGATGCATGAATAAATATGACAAAAAGTGAATAAATTTTATGTGTGTGAAGTAGTGAGTAATATGAAGTTTGTGTCCTTTTTTAAAAATAAAATAAAATTGGTGGAAGTTGCTTTCAAGAAGCCAAGTTGTGGCCATTGAGAACAGGTTTCCTACTTTGTTTTTTCATCTAAGGTATTTTTTTTCGCTTGAGGTTTGATATCTATATTAAAATATGATTAATTTAAATTTAATATATTGCAGGATTATAAATTTTTTACTTTCAGAAACTCAACACTATATCTCTAATCAAGGATGAATGAATATCGATCTATGCTAGTTATATTTGTGATTTTGTCAATCATTGGATCAACCAAAATTATACTATTAATTAGATGAATACCCTTTCATTTTTCTTTATTTTAAACCTAATTTATACCTACATACACGTGCAACTTAATATAATTCTCAAATGCAAAAATTTCAACAACATCCAATCCATACTATAGTATTATTTGTTTTTAACGTTTATGTACCTTAAGAAATCTTGGTGGTAAGAGTTTTTGACTTCTTGTATACACAATTATTTATCTTTTTCCTTAAACGTTTCATTTATATATTAACGAAAATAATAAGTTGAAAAAACTGACAGCCTATATTTGACATAAATGTAAAAAAAAATGATTCTGTAAATGATCGATTTGCCCCTCGGTGAATTAATTTATGTTACTAATTCTCTAAGTTTATCAATGAATTTATTTGGACAAATACTTTTAAAAAAACTATATTTAAAAAAAAAAGAAAAAAGAATCAGATAAGTAAATGAGTATTTATTGCTGAAGTGAACAAATCAATATTTCCAACAAAGCTTGTAGCAGTGGCAGGGGCAATGACAATAATGCTGATTCAGACTTCACAACAAACTGTTTATTTTCTAAAATATTCGATATTAGAAATTTATTGATTTTTATTAAAAAATTATCTTAGCACCATCAAATTATTTGAGTATGATGTAAACCTAGTAATTTCAAACGTTTCTTAAAAAATATAGGAGGGATTACCATTAGGATCGTCCCAACAAGATTCAAGGTCTAAAATTAAACTTTATTGAGAGGTCTTATTTTTTAAATTGTTATTTGTAAATTGAATAACTATAACATATTCGATGAAATCTTATTATAAAGTAAGAATGTAAACAATAAAAAATTTCAATGAAAAATATAATAGAAAGTTAGAATAATAGATCATGGCTTAAATTTTTAAAAAGTATATATAATGATATTGAAATAGTTGTGTTGAATTTGATAAGTTTGATATAATGATATTAAAGTAGTATTGATTTGTTGCAGTGCTTGAAATTTAAGGAATACATAAAAAAATTGATCTTTTTATAAACACACAACAATAAATTTTGCATTATATAAAAGATTGGCCGTTTGATGGACTTTTTAGAATATTCAATATTGAGAGAATAAATATAGAAAGATAAAAGCAAGAATAGTAATATGGATTACTATAGAAAGATAAAAGCAAGAATAGTAATATGGATTAATGATAATCATCAAGATATAAATAAGTCAACAAAATAGATAACCAAGTAAGATAAGATGCTATAATTACATAAACGCTATTCATATTTTCAATTATTACAATAACCTCTACCTTACATGAAATAGATAGTTATTATTATATTTTTCTACCCAAAATATTATTTTCTAATATATATATAAGAAAAATGGAGGGTCCTAAACAAACTTAAAGCTTCAAGTGATTGCTTTAGTCACTGATAGAAAATATTAAATTATAAGAAAAATTACTCAAATACACATCTTATTTTATCATAATTTCTAAAATTTTCTATCATTTAAAAAATTGCAAAAATACCTTCTCATATACATCACTTCCGTATCTGACACATCGCTATTCCTCTCCAATACATTCCTCCCTTATGTATCTGGATGTACTATTCTCTTTATGATATATCTCTTTTATGGGATATGTCCCTTCCTTATGTATTCAGATATTTGTTAATGTATTTGAGAGTCCAATAATATATGAAAAATTCATTGATTTCAAAAGAATATAATCTGAAAAAAAGTAAAGAAATAATATGAGCTTATGTAAATTGTATTGTTACTAGCAAGTAGCAACAGAACAAAAATCTCATTCAGTCCCCCACCGCCCCTTTGGGGAAAGAAAAAAAAAATTGTGGGGCGGTGGGCTCCATTTGGGAGAAACTGCATATATATCCACAAAAGCACCCAGATTTGATTCTTATTATTACTCTCCGTTCATTTTTATTTGTTATATTGTGCTTTTTGAAAATTGATTTTATTAATTTTTAAAATTAAATTATATTATATTAATTTGATATTTTAAATAAAAATTTTAGATTTTTAAAAATATACAAAAGTATTACGAGTATAAATTATAATTTTGTGCATATCAATATGATGAAAAAATATATCATAAAATGTTAATCAAATTTTTTATAGTTTAACTTCAAAATTCAAAAAAGAAAATTATGACAATTAAAAATGGACGAAAAAAATTTATCCATAAATGTTGTGATGAAATAGTTAAATATTCCTTAAATGGTTGTTTCAGATTCGAATTATATATATATAGAATTGCATCACGTAGATTTGAAAGAAGTATTTTCTTTTAATAATTTTTCTTGTATCAAAAATTTAAATTCAAGATCTCTAATTAAAAAGAAGCGTGTGATATTCTCTATGTCAAATGAGTATTTTCGTTCTTGCACGTATTTTCAAATTGTCGGTCACTCTTGCACTTATTTTAAGAAAATATAATACGAGAATTTTTTTTAAAAATAGAATAATTCTTTATTAAATATTTATTTATTAAGATATTTATAATATTAAATTAAATTTCTAAAATATCAAATAGTTCGAAATAATATAATTTATAAAAGTCACAATATATAACTTAAGATTGAAAGAGTATTAAAAATGCATTTAATTATAAGAGCTTGAACTTATAATCCTTTTTTATCTAGTGTCTAATATTTTTTCATTCTTCAACACAATTTATGGACACTTTTCTTAATTTAATTATTTTTTTCTCTAATTATAATTATTACATATTTTTTGATATTTTAAATTATCACTTTTTATATATATAGTGTTTTTTATATAATTTTTAAATATAAAAATTTATTTTAAAATTCTATATTTAAATAATTAATATTCAAAAGCATGACTCGTAAACTGAATTGGAATAGAGAGGGACTATTATTTTCAAAAACTATGTTCGTACTCCTAACCTCGTCATTCTTTCTAAGACAGAAATCGTAGTTTTAATATTTTTAATAATCGAGTATAAAATGTGATATTGAGTATATAAATTATCACTTTATGACGAATATTGGTTCTTTACGTCTTTTTAAAAAATAAAAATAAAAATAAAAATATTTCTCTCTTTATTTTGTTCTTTTTAACTTGCCGTTGTATACTTGTACTGATTTGAGCTAGCAGTAGCATAGTGAGTTCCTATCCATGGCGTCCTTCTAATAGCTCTGATTTTTCATCTGTTTTAAGTTATTTCTTCTTCAACTAATGATTTCTACTATTATTTGTTGAACCTACTAATTTTAGCTATCCATTTTTTTGTTTACAGATACTCATTGTAGGAAGCTGAACAGGCAGATTAACAATGGGGAAATTTGCAATAACAATGGTGGGTTTTCTGCTTTTATGTTTCTGTACTGAAGCAGTTTACATGAAGTACAAGGACCCAAAACAGCCATTGAATGTTAGAATCAGGGATTTGATGAACAGAATGAGCCTTGAAGAGAAAATAGGTCAGATGACCCAGATTGAGAAACATGTAGCTTCACCTCAGATCATGAAGAAATACTTCATTGGTAAGCTTTCCTAAACAAAAATCTTGAGGTTTTACATAAACCCTTATGGAGAAATCATTTTATGAAAGTTATACATTTGAAGCTATGTGTGATAAAAATTGCCTGTAGAAAATCTAGAGAAATTTGCCAGGATATGACTCAGTTGCAGCTTACTGAGTACATAGATCAGGGTAGACGGTTAGTAGGTAGTAGCATTGTCTTGCTTATCCTTCCGTACTGGTAGTCATAGTAATACTATCTACTACTATCTTTGTACTTTGATTATCGCAATATTTTGTTGTAGTTATTGTTCCTTTTTTGAATGCTTTATTATGCTATCTTATAGTATTTTGCCATGGTTTTTTCACTTTTGTTATTTCTACTTGTGGGATTACACTGGTATGTTGTGGTTGTTGATACGCTCAAATTACACCTCCTTTCAGAAGCATAAGCGATCGTTATCAAGTAAAGAACCCAACTTGTAGGTTGGGATCGATCCCACGAGGAAAATGGTTTAGACTTTACTTTTAACCGACAATTATCTTCGATTAGTCAAATTATTTCCAGAAACAAATAATAAAAAGGGGGGTTGTGCTTGTGTAAAACAAATAGTAATACGAAATATTGTAATCAATAATTAAACGCAACTTTGGTTGTTATCAAGATAAAAGAAATAACTAGGGTATACGTGTTCCCCATAATCTCATAACGCAGTAATTCTAGTAATAGCAATCCTCTTCTAGTGTATTACATGCAAAGTGATAAGTTAAGTATCTCTAAATCCTTAGTCCGGCATCCAGAGAATTTCACCCCGCACCTTGGTCCGGCTACGTGTGTATAATTTACTAACCCTTACCTTTACCTCATATTAGACATCATAATCGATGTTTGGCTTAGTTATTACTTCGCACCAATCGACACTAGCCTATTAGATAGTATCACACTAAATCTATGTTGATAATTCTTTTCTTGTTAATTACCTCCTTGGTCCGGCAAGTAGTAACAAGGCGAGTTCTAACGTTGGCCACCGTTAAAAAGACTTCTAAACGAAAGAATTATCAATGCATGCAAAATACTAGTCAAGAATTGCTTATTTACTATTCATACTTTGTTAATTGATCATGGTTCCCACAACCCTAGTTGTGAATTTAGTTACTCATATCAGCAAGAACACAATTCATAATTGTAGATGAAGAAATCATGAACTTACGTAAAAAGAATAATAAACCCAGAGAATTAACTTGAATTGCCAAGCCAAAATCTTCAAAACGAACTTCCAAAATCAATAATTGCTAGGGTTGCAAATTAATCTCCAAAGTTCCAAAGTAAAAATAGAATAATAGTGTCTAACCCCCAAAAACGAGGTTTACATGTCCTATTTATAGAAAACAAATCCTAAATAAAAAAGGAAACAAATTAAGGAAAGTTTTGTTCAGGTACGCGTCTTCGATCCACGAGACTGACTTACGGACCGTCGATTGATCTACGGTCCGTAAGTCCCTTCCGTCACTCGGGACTTAGAAAATATTTCGGCATCTAAAAATCAGCTTCTCTGAAGCAAACGACGGACCAGCAGCACGGACCGTAGATCGATCTACGGTCCGTCAATCCCTTCCGTAGCTCCATACTTAGAATCTTCAAAAATCAAGTACTGGAACCCTCACAGTCTCATCCTACGGATCAACAGTACGGTCCGTAGATGGGTCTACGGACCGTAAATGGGCACCGTGGTTCCACACTTGGTCAGATTTCCCTGATTTGTCCTCAACACATTCCTGCTGGTCTACGGTCATCACCTACGGACCGTGGATGGACCTACGGTCCGTAGATGACCTCCGTGGATGCCTTTTTCTGCATTTCCTTCAGTTGTCTCTAAACTTCCGCGCCTGTACACCTTTCCTGCAAAACATGATAGAATACATAAAAACCAATATAAAAAGGCCCTAGACACACACAACTTGTAAGTGAAATGTATTAGAAATACCGTAAACTCACGGTATATTAACACCCTCAACTTAAATTCGTTGTTTGTCCTCAAGCGACGCACTAGAACTCTAAACGACACTTATATAGAAGCAAGAATTTCTAACTCAAGCAATCACATGGCTCTTCAACCTCCTCATTGTTCGGGTGCACATTCGTTCTTTTAGACTCGATAAGCCAACTCATGTGGATCCATCATGACACAGACCAACCAACTAACACACAACAGACACCTTCTCACTGTCACCCAGATACCAACTTTCCAACAATGGAACTAGTGCCCTTACTTCAAACGAAATCCTCTTTTAGTAAAAAAATTCGATTTCATTCATGGTACAAGGATTTATTCAACACTCACGCTCAAAAGTAATTTCAAATACAGTTTGTGCTTACTGTCATAAGCTTGCCCTTATTTTCACTGCTCAGACTTTTCAAACTAGACTCCAGGATCACTATAGGACTTTATTGGCTTGTAACGTAGGCTCAGGGTCAGGTGTGGTACATTTGGGTACTGTTTAGTGACTTTCTGCCCTCCTTGTCATTACACTAGGCTTTTAACCTCTTGTTGCCCTACTTTTGTCATGTTATTGCTTTACCGCTTTCCTTTGATTTTCTTCAATCACGGAAGTGACTTTAAACTTTGAAGCTCAATTCCTTTTAATTGCTCCTTTCTCTTTGAATAATTCACATCCTTTCCTTACGTTTCCCCCAAATTTATTTATTTATTTTTCATTTTTTTTTTTATTTTTATTTTTTATTTTTTTCACTCTTTTCATCCCCATTTTTCTTTCGGTTTCCTCTTGCATAGCCACCTTACAGTTGACTGACCCGACCCGGACCCCCATTACTTAAAACCACCAGTGTTTCAAATCATTCCCTTTCCCTCCATTGCTCCCACAACCGTTTCTCCCACTTTTTAAACTCCCCAAATCACTCTATAACCACCACAAAATATCCTCCCTTCCATATATTCCCTAAACCCTTTTTCCTACCATAATCAACCCACTCCATAATCTGATAAAAAGAGTCCGGGGGTTGGTCAGTGACGAAAAGGTGAATCCTTGGTCGGGCTAAATCATAGTACCATCACGCAATCACCCCACTCCTTGTTGCTTGTAAGGTAATAGACTTTCTCTTCACTTTGAATTTCAATTCATAGATTGAATATAGAGGGTCGGGAGTGGGTTTTAACCTTGGGTAATTGTTAGTTGATATTGCATGATAAACTTGAGTAGTACAATGCCCTTGGAATGATAGATAGTGATTGTGTAGTTTTAATTGTGATGTGAGCTTATGTATTCGTAAATACTATATGCTAGTTTCGACCTAGGGTTCCCCATCTAGTCTAAATTGTTGGGTATAATAATCGGTAGGAATCTTAAGAATGACGAACTAGCATGTTTTAATGGTGTATATGCATAACTAGGTTGCGTTAATGTTGAAACCAAAAGCCAAAAATGTATGATACCTGGCACTGTTTGATTCCACGATACCCCGTCTACGGACCGTAGATCCATCTACGGACCGTAGATGGGGTTCGTCATTTGATGCACCTGCAAATTTTCACGAAGTGTAAAACCACGGATGTGGACTACGGTCCGTAGATACATCTACGGACCGTTCTGCACTTCCGTGGTTTTCATCTGCGACCTATATTTCAGGCACCCTGATCCACGGACCGTAGGTCTCCTCCGTGGATGACTTCTGCAGCATCTGTCATATTTTTTTTTGTGGACTTAGTTTGGGTTGTTACCAACTCTAAATAAGTTCTTTTGCCGCATATGGTTAGTTTTGGCACTAATGACGTTCCTGCAGGTACGATGGCACCCAAGAAGATGGTCACCTACTCGAAACGGGGCAAGTCCAAATCGGTTGCCCCTAGCTTCCGGTTGATTGATGAGGACACCGAGAACGACTCTGACTCCGCATATGTGCCTCTCAACCCTAGGGCCTCTCGCGCAGCACCCAGGAGCACCCCCCGGAAGGTGATCCCCGACGTAGTCACTGTCTCCCAGTCTGATGAGGAGCACACACTGATCGGGTCGCCAACTGGGGCTGCTTCCAGTTCGGAGGGACCTATGTCCGGATCCGAGTCTACCCATGCCTCAGGCTCCCAATCCTCACATTCAGAGTCTGTCCATGCTACAGGGTCCAACTTTAAATCGTCCACAGGGTCTGGAGAAAATGACCAAGCAGCCTCGTCTGATGAGGCAACTAGTTCAGAGGCCATTCCTGCTCCGAGGAATGATGAACCCGCTCCGGTAGCAGGGGAGCTGAATAGGTGGTGTGTCGAGGGTCAATGGCAGATCTATCGGGATGCAAAGATGGTGAATGACAAACAGAAAATGGCCCGATTAATACAAGAGGAGCGCAGAGTCCTCACGGGGAGCTTGCATACTGTGCCAGACATTCACCGGCTTTTCAAACTTCACAAGTGTGACTGGATGGCTCGAGACCCAGGGACGTATAGCGAGGAGATTGTCCGGGAGTTCTATGCTTCATATGCTGCCACTCTCCGCGGGTCCATTTCCAAGCGGTCAAAGCCACTAGCGCAGGCCCCGCTCACTTCCACCTTGGTTCGAGGGTGTCCAGTAGATATATCACCCGCCACCATTAGCCGGTTTCTTTATGGTCCTACCACATGCCACTCTTGGTCCCGTAACACGTCGGAATTTGATTACCGCTGGGACATCGTGCGGAGTGGTACTTTCCAGAGGAATACTGAGCAGCGAGAGGCCGTGATACTATGGCTGGCCAGGTACATTGCTGCAGATGGCGAGCGTGCAGAATGGGTCGCTACTCCACGGTTGGGCATCCGGAGGGCCACATTGAACTTCGTAGCAAAATTCTTCTGGCTATTAGTACGCAACCGCGTGTCGCCCACAAAAGCCGACAATCAGGTCACTTGGGACAGAGCTGTGATGGTTGCTGCATTGGTGGCGGGAGTAGAGATCGACTTTGCCAAAATGCTGCTGGCAGAGATCCACGAAAGAGCTTTCAGGACCTCAACTACTTACCCTTTCCCCTGTCTGATATTT